GGTGAAACTGCCTCCTCTTGGTTGTCTGTGGCTTAGCACTTTAAGGGTAACCCACCAAAGACTGTTTGCAAATCTTAAAACCGCGATTGCCATCCTATATCACAGCTAAGTTCACTGCCCTATTCTATGAGGATCGGATGTTCAATTGAGAAAGAAACTCAGAGGATGCTGAAGAGGGTATTATAGAACCGAGTGATTCCCCTTGGCTGCACAGTTCGTTTGTTGTTGTTAAGAATGGGTTATAGGAAACGGAGACTGGCTATCGCATACTCCTGAGACACATCAACAAATTTTTCACTTCTTGATGGGTAACCTCTACCTCGAATTTACGATACAATGAACAAAATTGCTCAGTACTACGTGTTTAGCACAATTTGATCTGCAAGTGTCCTATCATCAAGTCCCTATACAGGGAATGAAGATAACCATAACACAGCGTGTTCAGGCTAGTGATGCCTGTAACATTTTATACCAGAGTCCCTTTTGAGTCAGCCAATGGGGTAGCCCTTCCAAACGAATGTATGGATTCACTCATTCAGAAAGAGCAACTCATGGGAACCTACGCGTTTTAGATAATGTTACCATTTGTGGCAAGACCAGGAGGAACATGTAAGCAAACCTTGATAAGATATTGGAAGCCGCCAAGACGAAAAATAATCATTACAATGAGGAAAAGTGCACTTTTTCAATAAAAGGCTTAGCATCCTGGTTATGTAGTGGAAGGAGGTTCATATTCCAACCCTGACTGCGACGGAACCACTACGGGCACTTCCAATGCCTCAAGAACAAAAAGTCACGTCCGAAGAACTCTTGGTCTCTTTGCTTATTACACACAATGGATCTACAACAACTATATCAAGTAAAGTCCGCTCCATTGAGTGCTACCAACATTTCCCTGTGACAAAGGAAGCAGAACCGCTTTCCATACTCTCAAACAGGACATTGAAAAATCAGTAGTTCAACCATTGATGAGTCCCTACCATTCGAAGTGGAAACGGATCATCTGATCCATTTGTCCATTGCTGCAGTCTTATCTCATGGCAGGACGACCAGGTAGCCTTCTTTTTCGAGAACTTTTCAAGGATCAGAGAAATGTTATGCTGCAGTAGAAAAGGAAGCCCAGGCCATGCATAGAACAGTTCGCTCACTGGAGGCATTATTTAACGTGGTAGACATTTCACCAAAATACGACCAAGTCCGTGATGTGATATGTTCGACAAGAGGCACAAAGTATGGATAAAGAATGACAAATTTTACGCTGGAGATGGAACTATCCGTGTTATGAACTTTGATATTCTGTACATGACCGGGTCAAGAGAACATCTCCCTGATGCATTCCTTCTAGGTCCCCACTGTGGAGCAGCATGTGTCATGATTTACAATCCACTCTCAGCTCTCCACAAGTGCTTTTGATCACCCAGGAGTTACACGCCTGAACCCTTTTGACAAATCAAAGAACATGCCCTAACTCAAGGAAGAGGAGTGCGACAAGTGATCATATCAAGCATCAGAGAATGTGCAGAGTGCAAGCCAAACTTTCATCAGCCAGAGAAGACTCATCTCATAAAATCCACCCAGCCTTTCGAAAGATTGAATATAGATTTCAAAGGACCTCTAACCAGCCCAAATCAGAATAGTTATTTCCCCTTAACATAGTAGAGGAATATTCAAGGTTTCCCTTTGTATACCCCCTGTGCAAATATGGTGCTTCAACTGTTATTATTGTCTTTCACATTCTCATATTTTGGTATGCCAGCCTTATACCATTCAGACAGGGATCCTCGATCATGAGTAACGAACTTCCGGAGATATTGGCTTAGCAAGGTATTGCCTGCAGCAGAACAAGCAACAACCCTCAAGGTCAATGGTCAAGTGGAAGCGGTTCCAATGGTACTATATGGACGGCAGTTACAATGACATTAAAGACGCGCAATCTACCTGATCAAAACACTGGCAACAGTCCTACCTGAGCTCCTTCACTCTATAGATCACTGCTGTGGCACAGCTACTAATGCAACCCCTCATGAAAGACTCCTCAACTATTCACCGTCTTTCCTCTACCGGAGGCCTCCGGGGCCACTTGTTATGTCATTCCTGGACCCGTTCTCACTGAAGAGTCACCGTAGTATAACTAGATGGATCTCTCTCTAGTGGAAGAGGTAAGAGCTCCTGCAAGCTAATCCACAATTACGCCCACATTCGCTATCCAAAATGGTGAAGAAGCGACTACAGTATCTAAAAAAGACATTTAGCCCCATATGAAAAGCCCTATTAGTGGTGAATCACAAGAATACACCAATAGATGTGAAAGATGCCTTCGTTTCTCCTGGAAAGCCCCTTGAGACTACCATGGAAATAGAGGATTTCTGCTCCAGCAGATAATCAAACCCGCCGCTGGAAAATATCGAACCCTGGAGAAAGGAGGCTCAAGGTAGGGCTACGAAGGTCGGGACGGTAACGTCGCTCCACCTAACTGGAATTTTTTGGAGATTACAACTGTCCTTGATATTTTAGAAGGGGAGATTGGTAGTGTACTGGTCCTGTGGGAGCACAGCAAGGATAATACTGCACCACCTTCTAGGGCCCTTAACAACACCAACATTTGGTGTTGTCATGGGCACCAACACATGGTGTGTGATTCTCCTACTTTATCCATTTATAAGCGATGCAGATTACATGGTGAGTTTAAATATGTGGCCTGTAGTTATAACTTTTCTCTTGACATATGCAAGACATCACCATCCCTGTAGAAGCCATTATTAGATGTACTAGTCATTATATTTTGTTGTTGCAGAAGTACTATGAAGATTCTATGTTCAATAAAGCATAGAGATAAGGCCTGTGTTTCTATCACAACAGTGTGCTCTGTCACGGCCGAGGTACACCCTTTGGTACTTCGGTGTGTCCGTTAGTCGTGCTTTCTCCTGCAGGATCCTGTTTTGAGAAGATAGTTTTGAAAATCACTGACTGGCCAGTTTTTTTCCTCTTGCAAACCAGTCATCTGGGTCGTGTCAACCTCTCCTATGTTTTTGATGCATTCTCTTCTCCACCAGTCCTTCTTGTTTTTGCTTCATAAGTTTAACTTCCTGGAGCCTGTAAACCAAAACTGACCTCTCCCTTTTGTCCTCCCACTGCATTTTTCTTTGCATCCAGAGTAAATTTAGTTGCCTCCATTGCTTCTTGCAAACATTAATGACATGGTATCAAGTTGCATTCTCTGATGTATGCAGATTACAGTATGGCTGACTGTTGGAATGGGACCATGAACCAGGCTTTGACTCCCTGCTGTTACCCAAGGTGTTTAAGCTGCTCGTATGCCCAAGGCCCTGGCCAGCTGGCATCGACCAAGAAACGACAATGTCTTCCTTTGATTGGAGGTGGTCTCTCTGCTGTTGAAGGGCTCTTGACCCAAAGAATTGGAGATCTCCTCTTCCCCAGATCAAAGTTGATCACCTCCCATTCTTGAACGTTGATGAAACATGGCTCCTAAAATACATGTCAATGCTAGTCTTAATTTTCCTTGAAGAAATGCTTTATTCAGAAGTGTGTGAATTGGTTATTACAGAAAATTATGGCAGTAGAAAGTGTTCTCCTTCAGTCTATTATGCTTCATCAGTCCCTTGCTTAATCTTACTATAGAGAAAAATTGTTGAAAAAAGTATCTCTTTACTTGCTTCCTTTTTATCATCTGTCCTTCCTCCATGAAAGTATCACTAACCCTTTGCTGCATATAGTCCTGCAGGAGGTTGTTGCCATCTGTCACCAACAGCACAGAGGAGGTAGTAATGGTGGTGGTGGTTGTTCCTCCTCCATGTCCAGGGTGGAGGCTGTGGCCAGGAATGGAGGGAAGAATGGAGGGAGCAGGGAAGGAGATTGAGTGGATTTTTGTATGAAAGTACTGGCTGGACTTCTCTAGGGTTTAGGTATGACAGAGAAAGTATTCATTAAAATTTCTGTAACATTAGTGTTTTGCACTTCCATTATTATCCAGTTATTTAAATTTGTTTTGCTCTTTGCACTCTCAATCCAACACTTTTACTAAGTGAACTGTCAGTTTTGGAGGAAGCATTTAGGCCTGAGAAACTGCAGTGAGAATTCTGAGGATTTGAATACACAAGATTAACTAGTTTGTGTGTTCAGTGCATGCTATTTTTTTTTTTTTTGTGCTTAACAATATTTTGAAACTGTCCCCATCCCTTTATCTGAAATTCGAAAAGTTTCAAAACAAAGTTTTTTTTCGTGGAGGTGCTACTAGGTCAGATGCCGTGCTCCTTCCTTGGTTGGATAAACACACGAGTGAGAGGGGTTGAATTTGAGTGGGACTTGCACGTGCATAAATAGAATTATCAAAGCTTATTGCTTGTGTAGCATGGAAAATTGGGTTGGGCAAATATACTGTTAGTAGGATGGATTGTGAAGGACCTGCCTCAACCATAATAGGCAGACTGTTCCACTCATAAACATTAGAAAGGAAGAACACTGCAGTAGGCCTGTTGGCCCATACTTGGCATGTCCTTCACATATCCAACCCACTAACAGAATAAATGTACCAAAGTAATAAGCATTGATAATACTTTACTCAAGGCCAGCAATTGCTGGCCTTGAACAACGTGCATTTATCAGTGAGCAAGAGAATATGGCAGTTTACCCAGATTGGTTAGAAAGTAACCTATGTTTATCCCATAGATGACACTCTTTAAAAATGCTGTTTGTCAATCGTCTCGAGTCTTGTCCCTGATCTATAATTATTCCATTATTTCATTCATCAATATATTACTGTATATCAAACCGTCGTAGTGTGTGTAGTCTTTATTTATCCCAGTTAGTGTGAGTATTCATACGTTTTTGCTGCAGTGTTAATGCTTGATTATGGGGTGCCGCCCTAGACCCCACCTTCGTTCTAAAATTTGAAACTGTTGGCCCCAAGGGTTTGGGATAAAGGGATGGGGACTGTATAAATTATTTTATTTCATAAAGAAATTGCAGTGATTGTGTTTCAGGTCTGGAGAAGTGCGGTTTATGGGTGGGTTTGGAGAAGTGATGTACGCGCACAGTTGTGGCACTACAGTCGGCAGCAGGCAACCAAAGCCAGCAGAATTCCAATACCACCTCCACTCAGGATATGCAAATAATCTGCACATAGAAGAGGGGAGCTTAAGACGACGTTTTGGTCCGACTTGGACCATTTACAAAGTCACGCTAAAAGGAGAGGGAGTGTACATAGGCCAGCAAACATTGACGGGAGCAAGAGAGGTGGTGGAGGAAGTAGTAGTCAAATACTAAGAAAGGAGCAATGCAGGGGAGCTAGGGGCCCACAGGGTAGGAGCAAGAACACAGGTGGGGGGGGGGGGGGAATTACTAATGGACAAAAACCTTCTTTACTGTCAGCATCAGCATGCTCTTTACTTCTCTTCCACAAGATCTCTAATCTTTTCACAACCATTGCTTTTGACACTGCTCACCTGAATTCACAAGTTCATTCTTAACTACATCTCAAATAGCCCTTGGTCTAAATTCTCCCCTACCAACTGTTACTAATGTCTTCCATCACACCCTCAACATGAGCTTGAACTTCTTGGTTTTGGTATTTCTTTTGCCACTTCACCTGCCCCTCTGGCACTGACCAAATTTGCTCTTTTGATTCTTTGTCGGTCTCTCTCGCAGTCTTCCTGACTTGTCCACTTTTCGTGGTGTGCTCCTTCCTGCTCTTGATAACATGTTTTCTTTGAACCACCACCTTTCACACAGCTATCAACTTGCCATTTCTTCTCTTAAATCTAACGCTAACATTGTCATACTGTTCTGACACAGGTAATTTGGTAATTATCCTCAATCACGACGATTACCTCCGTAAAGCTGACGTGTTGCTCTCCGACTCTTACCTACACCTTTCATTTCCAACCCTCTCGATTGCATAGAGAACTTTCAACAAGAAACTAGACTCACTCGCCGCCCTCTGTCCTGACTTTGTCCTTGTTCAACATTTTAGTGTCTGTCCCCCTCTGCCCTATTTTTACGGCCTTCCCAAAACTCTTAAACCTGATATTCCTGTGTCCCATCATATCCTCTAGAGGTTCTTATTCTCTTGCTCTTGGCTGGTCAAAACCCTCACTTCCTTTTTTGGTACTTTTCTCCTGCCCACCTTAGTCATTCAAGAGCTGATAGAATGGGTTCTCGCTCTCCCGACCTGTAAGGTGTTTAGTCTTGAAGTTCTCTTCACTAATGTCCCTCTTGATGTCCTTAATTTTTCAGAAGGCCAATGAAGGGTTACTTTATCTCCCTATACCTACTGATGTTCTTTCTTGATCTTACCTGCCTTTGTGTGGACTTGAATTCCTTTTCCTTCCAGAGTAAATATTAGTATTCTCAAACTTTTGGTGTCGCTATAGGCTCTTCTCTATCTCCTGTTATTGTTAACCTTTACATGGAATACTTAGACTTCTTCTACTATTGACGTGTGCCGTTCACTCTGGCTCTATGTAGAGGACATCTTTACTCTCTGACCTCATGACTCTAGTCTCTTCCAACCATTTCTTGATGCTCTTAATAATCTTGCCTCTTCCATTAAGTTTGAAGCTGAATGGGAATCTAATTCCTTGCTTCCTTTCCTTGATGTTCATGTCCATTGCTCAGATGCAGGTTTTCCTTTTTTCGTGTACTGCAAACCTATGCACCGTGGCTTGTGCATTCACTACTTATGCTTCCTGTCAGTGTTCTCCCTATTTGTCCGTCCTCTGCATTTGTGATCCTCGGTTCCTTGAATCGGAAATTTCAACTCTTCATAATTCATTTTCCCATCTTGGCTACCCTTCTCATTTCATAGACTGCCTTCTCGCTTGCTAAACGGACTTTCTTCTCTCCCAAACACTACTCGTGGGAAAACTCCTGTCCTCTGCCTTCCCTACATTTCCCATCTTTCTAATCTCTACAACTCTGTTCCATTTCTTACTTTTTGCCAGACACGCTTCACACTAGTCTAGTTGATACCTCTCCTCCCTGTATACGTGCACCTGGTGTCTATTTCTCGTTTCTTCTGTCCTCTTCAGTATTATGGAGAAAGGGGCCGATCTCTTCCTGACACTTGTGGAGCACAAAAGTAGTTTGGCTTGCTGCCACCAACGATGCTCTTTTTCTGTCGTGTCAGAGATCGGTCATCCTATTGACTGGCCTTCTGCTATAACTGTGTACCCTACTTTTAACTTTCAGTTGCAATTTGGTTGAATCCTCCTTTATACACAACTTTCATTGTATGAATCTTAGTCCTGGCTTTGTCGCTGTAGATGCCTTCCTTTCCCATTTCGGTGGACCCTCGGTTATCTGCCATAATCCATTCCAGAAGGTCGACCTAAAACCAGAATGGCCGAAAATCGAAATATTTCCCACAAAAATTAATGTAAAGACAATTAATCTGTTCCAGACACCCCAAAATATTAACAAATAAATTTTTTTAAAGATAAACTATAGTTTTACAAACACAAAAACAATGAGCTAAATAAAATGACAGTGAAATGAATAAATGAACTTTTACCATCACTTATCTTTATTAACCCTTTGACTGTCGCGGCCGTATATATACGTTTGTGAGGTACCGTGTTTGACTTATATTATACTCATAAATTCTAGCGGCTTCAAATCAGGCAGGAGAAAGCTAGTAGGCCCACATGTGAGAGAATGGGTCTGTGTGGTCAGTGTGCACCACATAAAAAAAATCCTGGAGCACGCAGTGCATAATGAGAAAAAAAAAACTCTGACCGTTTTTTTTTTTTTTAATTAAAATGCCGACTTTGTGGTCTATTTTCGTATAGTATTTTGATTGTATTCTCGTTTTCATGGTCTGATTTGATAGATTGGAAACTATATTATAGAAATGGAGGTGATTTTGATTAATTTTACTATAAAAAGAACCTGGAAATGGAGCACAAAGTACAGGAAATGTTTGATTTTTGCCGATGTTCAAAAGTAAACAAATGATGTCATTGTCCATATAAATGTCCAAATAGCCATTCTAATACGCAGTCATGAATGGGTTGATGTAATTTTTACAATTATTACAGTATTGCAGTAGTCTGCATAACAGTAAATCTTCTATTTTTTTGTTTGAATAAAATTTCAAAATAAAAAGCAAGAGTAATATCACAGGGACCTGGAGACATGACTGATGAACAAAGAAAATCTTATTTTAGAGCCAGGAATGTCTGCATTGTTCATTCTGGACCTTATTTTGAAATTGTCGTATTTTTTAATTTTCGTGAAATTGGCCAAATTGCAAATTTCTGACCATGTTATTGGGTAGTTGAAATCGGTAAATGGGCAGTTTCTTGTGCTCAATCGATAGAAAAAATAGTTCTGAAGAAATAGTTATGAGTTTGGTTGACTGGAATAACGGAATTAGCCGAAAATAGGGCTCAGTGGGCGAAATTGCCGATTTTTAAATATCGCCGAAGTCGCTAACTTCGCGAGAGCGTAATTCCGTCAGTTTTCCATCAAATTTCGTTTTTTTGGTGTCTTTACAATCGGGAAAAGATTCTCTATCATTTCATAAGAAAAAATTTTTTTTTTTTTTCGAATATTTTGCGACACCAGGAGCAACTTCAGGATTGGGCCCTTCGACAGTCAAAGGGTTAAAGACGCTTGTTGGCGCTAATATCAACACTACGGCTTAATTATCTATCCCAATACATATAATGACAAACAATATTAATAATGGTCTGAGGAGTGGAGGCAAAACCTGTAAGTGGAACCAGATTCACAAAATCATACCGACACAATTGTCGGTCTGGAGTTTTAACTCTCCAACTGCAGGTTCAAGCCTTCCCTGTGGTATTTTTTTTTTTGATGTGGAAATTGGAAGGTGATGTCTCATAGGGGGAAGGAGATGGTTTTTCTAAGATGAGTGAAGGTCTTGAAATGGAGTGTAGCCTGATAGGAGTGAAACATAGTATGACATTTTGCGAGTAGCAGTTAGTGTTGCGGCAGAGAAGATGGAAGTGGGAGGAGGTCGATGGGATTTGTAGTATGCAGTGAGGATTTCAACAGGGTTGAAGAGGTACGACAGTGAGACTAGGCTAAACATGTTTACTAAATGATTTGTGTATAACATTAGTGTTTTGCTCTTCACTTATTAATGTAAGTACAATAAGTTTCAATATCTGTGAAATATTTTTTATATTTGTAGGAAGTAAATTGATTGAAATTCAGTCAGTTTCCAATTTTCTTGATATTTTGGGCTCTGAAAATGTGTAGTTCGAGAGAATACTGTCGCTTTTAACATTCTAAACCTGTTGTTGTGTGTATAACTTAGAGTACTGATTTGTTTCACGTCTGGAGACATGCAGTTTCTGGTTGGGTTCTGAGAAGTGGTATGCATATTAGTGGTGGCACTTGACTGGCTCTTATCCTAGACCAAAGCCAAAAGAAATTGCACACCCTGCACTCGGGATGACTGTGTGACGTGCCTCTAGGGCCCCAGTGTGCGACTTAACCATGTTGGTCTTTACTAATAAGGTCATGTCACCAATGGTCTTGACCACTCGGCAATGGAGTATTGACAACACCAGCACCCCTTCCAGAGATGGTAACTACAGCAAAAGGTGTCTAACACTGTTCTGGCTTGAATCCACCCAATATCCCTGAGAGCAGAGAGAAGCAAGTCAGCAGCCACAGGACATCTTGCCTGTGCTGCAGCATAGCACTAAAAATCTCATGAATTAGGCCGACTCCCTACTGCTTCACAGCAAATATGCCGAAGCAGGTCATGCGCCCAAGGCCCAAAGGGAGGTGGCGTCAATCAAGAATAATCACTGGAGGTAACTGTAGTTTTCCTCTCAATGGAGTAGTTGCCTTGATGCTGATGTAGGAGTCAGTCTAAAGAATTGAAAAAAAAGTTATTTCTTCCACAGATCAGACTTGATGACCTCCCATTTTTAACATTAAAGAAGCTGGGATCATAAGAACACACTTGTGTACTTTGCTAACTTATTTTCTTGGAGAAATACTTTGCTCAAACATGTAAATTAATGATTACAAAGACTTTTGCATTGAATTAGGAAATGTTTTCCTGCAGTCTCTCGCCCTTTATCAGTCCGTTACTTTGTATCACTGTTTTCAACACTTGTCGACTCCTTCGCTTGCACGTGTGTCCTTTCCCCCTTTTATCCTCTTGCCTGTCCAATTTTATCCTTTTTGCCATGCCTCCATAAGGGTATTGTTAAACTTTTTGTTTACCCAGTCAGACATGGATGTTCCGAAGAAGGCAGCTGCTGCCACTGCTGCAGTCACAAAGAGCATACAGGCGGTGGTTCTACATTTCAGGTGGAGGGAAGATTGGAGATAGGAAGATTTCTGATACACGGGATCAACTTTGTCATTCCCCTTTGTATGTTTTCCAGCGTATTTATATTCATTTTGTAATATGGAGACCAGAACTGTGCAGTATAATCTAAATGAGGCCTAACCAAAGATAGTTGAACAATCCAAGGACTTGTATTATGTTCATCCATTGGTAAAATTGGTGCCTGGGTGTTAGTCGACTGGTGTGGGTTGCATCCTGGGACAAAATTGGCCTAATTTACCTGAAATTGTCTACATAGCAAGTGGGTTTTTGTAATTGATGTGAGGTAGGCTTGTATACCTTGTACATATACTTGTAGAAATAAAAATATTACACTGGTTCTCTTCCTGGCTGACCTGCACAGGCAACCCAAGCTAGCGGAACTAGAGTTCATTCGTGACTGATGCGTGACATCAAAGTTTTAGTGGACCATTATAATGTAGGCAGACTTGATCTTGACTTAGTGTGGCCAACACGTCTCCCAGACGCACTGATGACACACATACTTGACCCTGCAGGTGCCTTCAACACTGCAGATTTTAAACAGTGTACTGGCATCGATCAGCCTGTTAGCAAATATTGACAGAGAAGGAAAGTGGCACGAGTGCAAGATTTAAATGTCTTTGTACCTACAGGAGGTCACTACTTTGTAGTGGTATGGCTGATAGTCTCTCTGGCTCAAAAAGAAAAGTTTTTTAAATTTAGTAACGTACAGGAAAAGTGGTTACTAGACGCTCGCTCCTGGAGGAAGAACGATTAATCTGTTCCAGACACCCAAAAATGTTCACAAATAATTTTTTTAAAGATTAGTTGTACATGTACGAAACAGTGAGTACTAAATAAAATACATGGACAATTAAATCAGTATTACATACCTTTATTGAAGATTTTTCTTGGCTTATGGAAGATAGGGAGGAGGGGGGGAGGCTCGACACTTTACCCCTGCAACCTGCTGCACTTTGCACACACGTCCATAATCACTGAAGGCATATTCTATCCTCTCTTCCTCCAGTGAAACAATTTCCTTGGCTGTGGTCTGTTGCTGTTCCGGAGGAAGGTCTTGCAGCTCTACCTTCTACATCCTGCACTGCCACCCGCACTGCCACCCGCACTGCTAACCTCACTGCCACCCTCACTCTTGTACTTCAGTTTCTTAAATTCTAGAGTGTTTCTCACCTTCTTTACCAAAGGAACTTAACTAAGAACTTTCTTATTACAATATAGCTGTATAGCCCTTGTGGCTTAGCGCTTCTTTTTGATTATAATAATAATAATTATTACAATATGTAGTGGTACCTCGGGATACGAATTATTTAGTTACAGAATGCTGTTAGTGCCAATACTGAATAAATATTCCCGTAAGGAATAATGCAAATCAGATTAATCTGAGACCCCCAAAATACTTGCAAAAGCATTTACATGAACGTTTGAGTTTTGAGGTGTTGGTATCCCGAGGTACCACAAATTTTATAAATGTGTTGGTGTGTGTTGTACCAAATAGGTAAAATTGGTCTGTTAGCGAGAACTTCTATAAAATCGTTTATAAAATTTACTCTTATGTTTAAAGATATATTTTGTTCATTTTTTTTTTTCCCCTCAAGTCGGCCGTCTCCCACCGAGGCAGGGTGACCCAAAAAAGAAAAAATCCCCAAAAAAGAAAATACTTTCATCATTCAACACTTTCACCACTCACACATTATCACTGCTTTGGCAGAGGTGCTCAGAATACAACAGTTTAGAAGCATATACGTATAAAGATACACAACATATCCCTCCAAACTGCCAATATCCCAAACCCGTCCTTTAAAGTGCAGGCAACATTGTACTTCCCATTTCCAGGACTCGAGTCCGACTATGTGAAAATAACCGGTTTCCCTGAATCCCTTCACTAAATATTACCCTGCTCACACTCCAACAGATCGTCAGGTCCCAAGTATCAGGAGTCTCCATTCACTCCTATCTAACACGCTCATGCACGCTTGCTGGAAGTCCAAGCCCCTCACCCACAAAACCTCCTTTACCCCCTCTTTCCAACCCTTTTGAGGACGACCCCTACCCCTCCTTCCTTCCCCTATAGATTTATATGCTTTCCATGTCATTCTACTTTGATCCATTCTCTCTAAATGACCAAACCACCTCAACAACCCCTCTTCTGCCCTCTGACTAATACTTTTATTAACTCCACACCTTCTCCTAATTTCCACACTCTGAATTTTCTGCATAATATTTACACCACACATTGCCCTTAAACAGGACATCTCCACTGCCTCCAACAGTCTCCTCGCTGTTGCATTAACCACCCAAGCTTCACATCCATATAAGAGTGTTGGTACTACTATACTTTCATACATTCCCTTCTTTGCCTCCATAGATAACGTTTTTTTGACTCCACATATACCTCAACGTACCACTCGCCTTTATTCCCTCAATTCTATGATTAACCTCATCCTTCATAAATCCATCCGCTGACACGTCAACTCCCAAGTATCTGAAAACATTCACTTCTTCCATACTACTACTGCCCAATTTGATATCCAATTTTTCTTTATCTAAATCATTTGATACCCTCATCACCTTATTCTTTTCTATGTTCACTTTCAACTTTCTACCTTTACACACTTTCCCAAACTCATCCCACTAACCTTTGCAATTTTTCTTTAGAATCTCCCATAAGCACAGTATCATCAACAAAAAGTAACTGTGTCAATTCCCATTTTGAATTTGATTCCCCATAATTTAATCCCCCCCCTCTCCCGAACACCCTAGCATTTACTTCTTTTACAACCCTAATCTATAAAATATTAAACCACCATGGTGACATTGAAGAATTGAGACACTTATGCAACACATGGGAATCTTTATTGAAGAAACGTTTCGCCACACAGTGGCTTCATCAGTCCAATACAAAGTAGAAAATGGGTAAGGAGAGTAGAAGTATGAGGTAATCAGTCCCTCAACCTGGATTCGATGTGTTCAGTCCATCACTCTTGTAGTAAGTGCAGCATAGGGCCAGAGAGGTGGCTTATATACTGCGGTGAGATGAGTTGAAGCACGAGGAGGCGGGATCTTAGTGGGACCTGCCACTAATGTAAGTAGGTCATCGTCCAAAGGTTTGGGCAAGCGTTGAAGTCTTTGTACCAAGATTCCATGATGTTGCAGTGTCTGACAGATGTGATGAATGGTTTTGAAAACCGACAAGTTGAAGAATCGAGACACTTGTGCAACACATGTGTTGCATAAGTGTCTCAATTCTTCAACTTGTCGGTTTTCAAAACCATTCATCACATGGTGACATTACACATCCCTGTCTAAGACCTACTTTTACCGGGAAGTATTCTCCCTCTCTTCTACACACCCTAACCTGAGCCTCACTTTTGCTCATAAAAGCTCTTTACAGCATTTAGTAACTTACCACCTATTACATTACTTGCAACATCTGCCACATTGCTCCTCTATCCACTCTATCATATGCCTTTTCTAAATCCATAAAGGCAATAAAAACTTCCCTACCTTTATCTAAATACTGTTCACATATATGCTTAAATGTAAACACTTGATGTACACATCCCCTACCCACTCTGAAACCACCTTGCTCATCTGCAATCCTACATTCTGTCTTACCTCTAATTTTTTCAATTATAACCCTACCGTATACTTTTCCTGGTATACTCAGTAAACTTATTCTCTATAATTTTACAATCTCTTTTGTCCCCCTTTTCCCCTTTTTATAAAGGGACTATACATGCTCTCCGCCAATCCCTAGGTACCTTCCCTCTTTCATACATTTATTAAACAAAAGTACCAACCACTCCAACACTAATTCCCCCCCCTGCTTTTAACATTTCTGTCATGATCCCATCAGTTCCAGCTGCTTTACCCCCTTTCATTCTACGTAATGCCTCACGTACCTCCACCACACTTACATTCTGCTCCTCTTCACTCCTAAAAGATGGTATACCTCCCTGGCTAGTGCATGAAATTACCGCCTCCCTTTCTTCCTCAACATTTAAAAGTTCTTCAAAATATTCTCGCCATCTACTTAATACCTCCCTCTCCCCATCTACTAACTCCCCTACTCTGTTTTTAACTGACAAATCCATACTTTCTCTAGGCTTTCTTAACTTGTTTAACTCGCTCCAAAATTTTTTCTTATTTTCATTAAAATTTCTTGACAGTGCTTCTCCCACTCTTATCTGCTCTCCTTTTGCGCGCACTCACCACACTCTTCACGTTTCTTTTACTCTCCATATACTCTGCTCTTCTTATAACACTTCTGCTTTGTAAAAACCTCTCGTAAGCTACCTTTTTCTCTTTTATCACACCCTTTACTTCATCATTCCACCAATCACTCCTCTTCCCTCCTGCCCCCACCCTCCTATAACCACAAACTTCTTCCCCACATTTTAATACTGCATTTTTAAAACTATTCCAACCCTCTTCAACCCCCCCCCCACTACTCATCTTTGCACTAGCCCACCTTTCTGCCAATAGTCGCTTATCTCACCCGAACTTCCTCCTCCCTTAGTTTATACACTTTCACCTCCCTCTTACTTGTTGCCACCTTCCTCTTTTCCCATCTACCTCTTACTCTAACGGTAGCTACAACTAAATAATGATGCGATGTGTCAGTTGCCCCTCTATAAACATGTACATCCTGGAGCCAACCAATCAACCTTTTATCCACCAATACATAATCTAACAAAGTACTTTCATTACGTGCTACATCATACCTTGTATATTTATTTATCCTCTTTTTCATAAAATATGTATTATTACCAAATTTCTTTCTACACATAGCTCAATTAAAGGCTCCCCATTTACATTTACCCCTGGCACCCCAAATTTACCTACTCCCTCCATAACATTTTTACCCACTTTAGCATTGAAATCCCCAACCACCATTACTCTCACACTTGATTCAAAACTCCATGCATTCACTCAAATTACCAGAATCTTCTACACTTCTTTTCTCAGGTGATACACACATATATAACCCTCTTCTAACATACAATCTTTATTTACTCCACTCATAATCCTTGAATTTATACATTTGTTAGTCCCTCTTTTCCTTCCATAACTTATCTTCAAATTATTACTACTCCTCTTTCGCTCTAACATGTAAATAAATGGTATAATTAAATACCGACTCAATGGCAATTTATACACAATGCAGTATTATGTGATCCTTTAATTGATACGTTTCGCCACACTGTGGCTTTTTCAAGTCACAAACAGACTTACCTGGGGCGGAAGAGAACGCGTGGTATTTATAGTCCGGCTGAGTCGGTGAAAAAGCTGCATCTGATGATGTACCGAAGTTGGGTTGTAGAGTCTAAAAACTTTGGTTAGCTTTGGAAAGGAGATGGACAAGTTTGTGAGCTGACCTTCTACAGGTTCATTATTGTGGGATAGCGATTGAAGAAGTTTTTGGCAGTGTTTCAGTAAGTTATAGAAGCCTTATTCTGGTTGAAGTTAGTCGGATACAAGAAATAGTGATGATTCCAGGATCTTCGGTGCTATTGGGGTGTTGTCTTTCTGTGGCGATAGTCTTGAGGTTCTGTAGTTTATCAAGTGGTTGTGTGAATTACGGTGTTGTTGTACGCATGCATTCCGTGTGTCGTCAGACCTGCTGCGTATTGGTGTTTGATATACGTGAAAGCATGTTTCAACATCTTTGCCAAAAACACATTAAGTATCTACCTCACAACCACGACCATCAAGGACATCACCCAGTAGCTAGGAGGATCAAGCTTCATATCCTCTGCAGGGGTTCATAATCTTGTAATGACGCAAAAAGTTTTACGTGGGCGAACATCAAGGGCCTACAAAACACGTTTTAGAACACCATACGCCAAGCCAAGGTCTGACGGAACAAGGATAGCATATGCGTACAACACGTAATTCACACAACCTCTTGATAAACTACAGATACTAAGACTTATCGCCACAGAAGACAAACACCCAATACGATAGAATCCTGAATCATCACTTATTTCTGTATCCGAACAACTGTCAACACGAATAGTG